AAGGGGCTTTTTAAGTTTCCAAAGCATCTCATCAGTGGCATTCCATCTGGCCCTCACCACACTGTGAGGTAGAGAGGGGGTTATTATCATTTATATTTTAGAGGTGACAACCAAGAGACGCCAAGGGGACTTGCCCAAGGGGCAGAATCAGGGCTAAGAGCTTGCTGCCCAGACCCTCCACCAGGGCCCGACCTCCTGACGACCCTCTCACAGTCCTTTACAAAACAGCAACCACAGAAATGCTGGGAGATCTGAGGGAGAGCCATGGCCAGAGCTCAAGGGTTCTGTGGTTCTTGGAAGAAAATGTCCCCCTCGGGGCTTCCTGTCGAAGGCCTCCTGCGTCTTTGGTGCCACGGAGCCTGCCTGCCTGCTGTGGTCAGAGCCCTGCATGTGCCGCTGGAAGGGGAGGGTGCAGCCAGGGCAGGAAAAGGAAACCAGGGAGTTGGCACCACAACACTCAGCCTCCTAAAAGGGGGTCTTCGTTGGGACTCACTTGCAGGACAGATAAGCCATTGTGTGCGGAAACCACAGGCTCTGCTTGGTGTTCCCGAGTCTCCCTCCTTGAAGCAGAGTTGGCCTTCTGCAGGAGTTCCACGTCGAGGTGTGGGGGCCCCAGGAAGGCACTGAGGAAAAATCTAAAGGGCACCACTGGCCTGCTCATCTGTTCGGCGGTAGAATTTTCACTTTGCATGCAGGAGGCCCAGATCTCCTGGGCAGTGCACCGCAGAAGGCGCCAGCACCCATCTGTCCGTACAGGTTTTCAGATTGCTGCGCGGCGAAGCAGGTTGCAGAGGAGTTTCCAGACTAAGATTAACAAGGAAGAAAGGCCTGGCCATCTAACTCATCGCCATCGAGTGGATTCCAATGATAGTGACCCTACAGGGTACAGTAGAGCTGCCCCCAAAGAGTGTCCAAGGTTCAAATCTTTATGGAGACCCCTGGCGGGGTAGTGGTTACGCATTGGGCTGTGATCCACAAGGCTAGCAGTTCGAAACCACCAGCCACCCCAAGGGAGAAAGATGGGGCTTTCTACTCTTGTTAGCCTGTGATGACTAGAGAAACAAATCCAGGGAGACTCATAGGTGATAAGAAAGAGCTTTATATAAGACAGTAGATTAGGGAAACATCCCAGCCCAGTCCAGATCAAGTCCATAAGTCTGATATTAGCCCAGATGTCCAATACCAGTCTATAAGTTCCTCTTCAGGCTCACACAACACATGCAATAATGTTGAATGCAG